ATGAGAACGGTCGTCATAAGTATAATTTAAACAACTTTAAAATGATGACTTAGTGAAATTTACGGCGCCAATTTTTTTCTCGAAAATTCGTTATATACTTTATAAAACTTCCCTCATTTGTCAATTTATTTTTGGAAGTTGCCAATTCATGAGCGCCATAACTACCAATTACCACCCAACGTCGTGCACGAAATATGACTTTTCAGTTGGAATGCAGAGTATCTACTTTCCTTTTGCCAACGTGAAGAATTTTGACGTTTACCGTTATACGTTGTTATACCACCCACGCTGTATGAATAATATAAAATTCTTACGTAACGCTACTTTATGTAATCTGTGACGTTTATGGTTCATAATATTTTGTTATACATTCATGTATATGACTGCTGTATGTTGAAATCAATTCCAAGTTTCAAGTGAATGTAAGTTGTGTTATTGCAAATGTTTGAATATAAATCCCATCTTGTTCTGAAACGAAATAGCAGGCAACGCAATACTTAAAAGTTAACTTGTTACAGTGCATGTCATCCAATTTGATAGATGTACAGTAATAGGAGAAATATATTTCTCATTGGCTAATTACCCATATCACGAGAATATTTTGTAATTTCACAGAAGTTCTAATTACGACGGGAGAAAATGATGAGCACTTAGCACAAAAAGTACCTTTTAAGTTCGTAATCATGATACATAAAACGCAAAAAAGATACAAAGGTTTCTTGGTGGGTCCATTTGGAAATCACTTGGATTGAAACCGAGATGTACACGTAAATTTTAAATTGAAAACAGCATACAAAATCCAGGCATATGCACCAGAAATGGTCACCAATTTTTGGGAAATTATAGTTACTTATATAAACTTAATTATTGATTGCGTATTCATTCATCCCAAAATAGCAGTTCTTGGTTATTATGTCGCAACGTCGTCTCAATTTCTCTCGTCTAATTTCCCCAGTTTAGATATTTTAGTTCATTTATTATCTAATTTTCGGTGAAATCACGTGAAAAGTCTGAACGTCTCATAATTACACACAATGTTCACATACATAATTGTATACAGCTAATTATGTGGTGTAACTTAACAAAATTTGACAAAAATAACCGAAAATTTAAACAAATGCATTATTCGAATGAAAATCAAAAAATTAAAACACGAGAAAATCATCGTCGTTATACTAAATATAATAAAGAATATTTAAAATGAAATTCCGAAACTTTTTCCTAAATAACAACTCTACTAGACTTACGTGAAGACACACAGGGTCAAACTTCGATGGTAATTCTAGTTTAGAACTGCGACATGTTAAGCTTCGTTTCATAAAAAAACTTCCAATGCTTCAAAACGCGATGTGGTCAAGAGATACGATATCATATACGTACATCACAAAGATCCTGGTATGAACTTGGATTATTCCAAAGAAAACGATAAATATCAATATCATTTTAATTAGTGCAACAGGGAAACAGTTTCAATGACTTGCAGTTGAATGCAATTTACGGTTCCTACACAATAACCATTAAATTTTTGGTTTATCCACAAGCTTTTTATTTTTCATCACATACGCTTTGTCTTGTTGTTGCAACATGGTGTGACGCGATAACAAAATTGTTGTGTAAACTAATCTTGCAAAATTGCATATCGAATTGCGAAAACATCGACTGAGGATCTATCTATATGTATTTATATTATAGTGATAATGGGAATTTCTTGCCTTAGGGATAAATAGGAATTCTCAAAGTGAAAAATATTCTGTGACTTAAATACCTATACCGATTACAAAATTCCGAATCGACAATGAGATCGAATAAAAATTTGGTTTTGCTGTTTCACCTACAATTCTTTTTATGCACCTAATCCGTCGCCCACAATTTTGTAGCATTTAAAATCTCCACCTTTGTCATATCGATCATTTCATATTTTTAGTATAGCACACTTCTGACATCTAGAGGAGAGGAGTACCCAAACGCGTACTTTTTAATAAGAGCTGTTGTGTTGGGGAAATTTGCAATCGATTCAGATTTCCGACGATGAAAATGAATTAGTGAAATAATACAAAATAAAATCTAGAACGAAAGGTTTATTCAATTATCTTGCCACGAAGGTAACTTGAACATTTCGGGGGATTTGAGCGCAGAAATAAAGCACAAGATATTAAGGCTATCAAATGAGGCATTCGACTACATTTCCTTACAAACTTTGTCAAAAGCAGATTTTGAAATATGTCAAGCTGTCACAGAAATAAACTAGAAGTGTACTTAAAACATGAAAAGTTTATTCGCATTGGTGGCTGAAACCAGGTTAGAGTGGCACCTCAGGATCCTCTATGGCCGTGGTTTTGACCTTTGTGAACCTGCCCTACGTTATTCTGCAAGCTTTCGTCGAACCCCAACGTTTTGAACAATAAGCAACGCAAAACAAGGAACGCAACGTGCACTTTATAAGAGGGGAGCTATCGTCTTCAATCTTCTTTAATAGATAGAATATGCATGCTTTGGATGAGTTTTTAGGTTTCAATAAAAAAGACAAGCATTATCAAACATCAACCACCAATTATCCGAACATTTCTCTTTGTAAAAAATCTTAGATATCAATAAATTGTGACAAAATAACTACTGTATGCTACGATAGTTTAGGCAACAACGGACTTGTTGGTAGAAAGATGCCATAACATTCTCAATCGGGAGCCGTGGTACCACAAGAGGGCAATAGAACAATTAAGGGGCTACAAATAAGCGCCTTATATAAATAAATTTGATGCGATTTCGTTTGCAAATTTTTTTTATAATAAAATTTCCTGTTCTCCGTTGTTTCATTATCTGAAAATGTTGCTTCCAATCATGGGGGGATTCACTTTTCTTGTGCATGAACCTTTTGATCATAATGGGAGTCGGAATCTACCGATCAAAATAACCTTATAAATACCTCTGCGCTGTGCGAATTCTAACTATTCCAGTTGGTTAGTTACCCACCTACTTATCCAGCAGGCATTGTTCGTATTTAAGTTATGTGGCTAGAAATAGGAAAATACCCAAAGCAAAAATTGCAACTAAAATACTAAATGATCGATCCCTTGAATGAGTTGATGGCCCAAGTTCATTGCCCAGGTTTTAAATACCAGTAATATGCGGGAAGCAAAGCATCGTGCGTTTTTACATTGTTTTACGGAATTATATATAATATTTAGATAATAAGATAATATTAAGCGTCATGTTAAGGTCGTCCAGGACGGGTGATGCTAATTTTAAGCAAGTCTACTATAATGTTGTATGCTACGAATTCTATTTTTTAATGAACTTATTTCTCATTCATTCATGTACACTTTCTTCCAATTTTCAGCTTGCGTATAACATTAAGCTACATTTTATTTGTACCTTTTGAATAATATGTCGTACATTCATAACAACCTGGGATATTTTGAAGCAGAAATCATTCAAAAACGCTATCATACAGAAGTACACCCGCGACATCAGTGACGAAACACCGAGTTTTTTATGAAGTTTACTTAGATCTGGCTTTACTTGACTGGTTCAATATGACTTATGTGCAAAGCTATACGTAGTTATGCTATTTTTTGAAATGAACAATTTTCAGAAGTTTTCGTCGAACCCCTGGAACAGCTCCACGGAGCTCCAGCTGTTAGACGAAACCCCGGTTGAGAAAGGTTTTCATTGTGAGATGACAGGGACATCCTAAGGAAACAGTGTCACATTGTATGCAAGTTCATATTTTTAGGGCCGCATGAAGTCGTATTGTGGGCCGTATTGTGCTAAATTTTGTTCGAAGCAATAGGCAGTAAAAATTGGGAATAAATACAAACCAAGAATTTCTGAAATTTTTAACCCTTAAATCGGTCGGTGCTTCTGAAGTATGCGTACCAAGATGGCGGACACCGGAACGTAGTATGTGTACCAAGTTGGGGTTAGGCCATAATTTTAGAAATACTATGGGAGTCATTTGGCTAGTCCCCGAACTCGTAATAGAACTAAAAAAGGAAAATTGAAATACAATTATGGTCTAAACCTAATCTGGTACACATACTACGTTCCGGTGTCCGCCATCTTGGTACGCATACTTCAGGAGTACCAATTGGTCGACATAGAGACTGTTAAGGAATTGACACAATTGATCTAGAAAGGCGAATTCAACATCTCTGAATGCCCCACCAGTAATGATGAATTACTGTTTCAGATGAAAAGAGAGCTGAATATGTTCTTGATCGTGGTATTGATGTTCATGTCAAAGAAAGAATACTTGTTATTCATTGGAATGTGGCAAATGATGATTCGAGGTTTATATTTCTGACAAATCAAACACCGGTAGAAGCATACGCTTCTGCAGCCAGAGTGAGCGAAATAGCTCAAACGTGGAAATGAAAATGTACCTTTTTCGTGGGAGGATATTAAAAAGGTGGCGTTGCACACGAAACATCGATCTTGGATTTCTTCAAAAAATGATTCTGTGACATGTCAAAATACAATGGATATTGCTACAAGTATTCATGTGCCACTAAAGACCAAACTTAAGAATATGGGTGTGCGCGCACATAACGCCGCTGAATGCTGCTTGGATTATAAAAATGTATTTCATTTACTTTACACTCCTCTTACACTCAATAATTCCTTTGTATTATTATAAGTAAAAACCATTGTAAAATATTTTGGTAAACTAAAGATCACAACCATGAATTAACTAAATACTAAGTGTGTAACGGTAATATTCAGCGGGGCATCGCAATTAAACAGAGAGCAACTCTAATATCGATGAACTTGCCTCGCTACATGCCTCAAATTTATTGTCTGTATATGTAGCCTACATCATTTGAATAGCGATATACATAAATTGAGTTGGCTGCATATGAATATGACATTGGTTTTATATGCATATTTCGTTGGCTGTATATGAGTTGGCTGTATTTGCATATCACGTTGCCAACTCCGATCAGAATATCAAATAAATGTAAGCCTACTCTGGAAAAGTACACTATCCAAGGCTCCCATCATATGTGAATAGCTCTAATGTTTATTATGCTAGCTATGAAAAGTAAATGAACATAATAAAACATTTACAATATAGCACGATACGTGCACAAGTCAAAAAACATTATGCTTTGTTTATTTTATAAGGCGACTTGGGTAGTCCTGGAGCATAGTTTTATTAGTATATATATAGGAAATTACATAGTTTTATTAGTATATATATAGGAAATTACATTTATATTTACATTTTACAAACAACAACAAAGGCGTCATTTGGAAATCTAGCATTTTATCCCCAATTTGAACAACAAGTCCATTAACAGCATAATAAACAACAACCCGCACCTGTCATCTAGTTTTCGAATCGGCAAAAACGAAATCAGCGATATCCGCTTTTAAAGTTTCCATTCAATGGCGATAATACGGCGATAAACCTTTGTTATGGTTTAACTTGGAAAATAATTGACAAGCATTAGTATTTTAGAAAAGTAAAATTAAAGATATCAGATCGTAAAATGGTTCAGTTGGTGTAAACCATGACGAATTTAGATATCGGCCTATTGAAAAAATAAATATATCAAATTAATAATAAATCTGGTAAATTTTCCTCATGCTAATTTTTGATATATCATTGAGGTATCCAAGGTGTCTACAGCATCAGGCGACATTCGTGTCATGTGCACTGTACTGTTGTCGTAATAATTAAATCTGCGGCGTTTTTGATTTCTCAAGAAGCACAATGTTGCTGCCACAAGAACAAGAATGCCAATAACTATTCCAACAGCAGCTCCAACAACCGAAATATTTTTGGAATGTTTTGTTGAAAGTCCGCCACTCGGCAGAGATATGGAAATGTTTGTTTGTAGATCTGTTATCGTGCTCTGTTCTGCAGAAACCGAGTAATCTGATGCAGTAAATGGTTCAATTATCGTAGTAGATTGAGTTGAATTCGCAACGAAAGTTCTTGTTTTGTTTGATTGTGGGACAGAATTTGTCTGTAAAAACGTTCTCAAAGTTCCTGAACTATTGATAAAAGTTGGCAAATAAGAAACTCCAGGTTTGTAACTATCAGTTAAATCTGTTGTTGCAGAAAATTGCTTCGCAGTTGACATTTTTTCACTATTGATTATAGGTGTTGTTGTCATTGCTTTAGTAGTGAAAGTTGTCGTAGTTCCCTTAACAGGAGGAGCTGCTTCAGATGGAGAAACTGTAAAAAAAAAGATATTTCATCTTAATGTATTATCATAAAATTATATTTTGAAAGACAACTTCTTAATTTATTATTCATTTAATTTTCAGCACAATGTCAGGTTATATTTGGCTGAAGCGCCATTACATAAGTAACAATCGGAAACGTTATTCTAATAAAACTACGACACATACGCTGAAGTTACTACTTTTCATGGCATATATGCATTAGTCATTTATAATATATATTAATAATCATGTTAATATGACTATTGCTCGATGAATAATGCATATGATTCTAGTGACAACGGGATCAGAATAGCGTCCTTTGTACTTCCTTAGGTATACCGTACATCAAGTACATATAGTGACAGTTATGTTCAAGTGTATCGTATTTAACGTAGCAATTGAAAAGATCAAGTTCTACGCGTACGTGCGGGTATTGTGAGCAATAAATGGCTATAGCCCAGTATTGCCTTCCGTCATAGAGTTCATTCAAACAACGACATGTTTATGTATCACCCTCAACTGAAATCACTCTTAATAATATTTACTCTTAACTCAAAATCGTGCTACAAAATAATTATTTCAACGGCGCAGAGTAACTCACTCATGCTGAATTCTGTCAGCATTAGATGATAGGATAAAACAGAAATTTTCTAATTCGAGTTCACTTACAAGCGCAGTCGCTAGGATTATTCAGAGGATCAAAGGTGATATCATCCAGTACTATGTTCCCACTTGGTCCTTTGTCCCAGTCAAAAGCTTCAAACATCAAAATTTTCCTCATATTTGAAAGTTTTGGTGGTTTTATGGCGACCTGTTGTTTAGATATAGAAATATTATATTTATTAACTATATGAATTTATTACATGAATCAGAAGGAGACATCATGGAGTGCTATATCTTGCCAAGCTCACATAACGGATTTTTTTTATCATCTGTCTTTTACATAATGGCCACATTTTCACTTTTAAAATATTGTGTTTCTGAAGCACACAACTATATCATAAAGCTTTTCGGTAGTTAAGATATGTTGTGATTATTCTTTTATGATAATTGACTCAAAGACTTCCGAAAGTTTTCTTTCTCCATAAAAGTCACATGATATTTGACAAACAACACAATGTCACGAGTTCGCGTAACTTGGTAAATTTGCCCTTTTCACCTAAACTTTCGCCGTTTGACGGAGAAATTAAGTGTAAACAGTACATATATTAATTAATGGACTTTGTAACCATTCGTGCACTCTCCTTCCCTTAATGAGATTTTTGCATTGAAGACTTACTTACTACTTACTATATATATTATACACATGACCACAAATTGTCTGAATATATGATATAAATGCTTTATTTGCTCGAAAACGAGAGAGCCCCCAGTATTCCTGCCGACACCAAAGTCCATCCTCTCCTTTTATCTGATATAGAATTACTGCGCAATTTTGCAAAATTCAGGGTTATTTGTGTTCTCATCTTTTCCACCGTGCAGAAGACGCGCTGACATTCTGGTTTGTCTTAAAAAATAGACGACTCGACATATCACAGTCTTATCGCCCACAGTACTTTGTTTCGTGCCAGTAGCTGTTTAATTTACCACTGCTCCTGCTATGTGGACGCAGACTACATCATCAAAGAAATAGCGTATGTATTGTAATATTCAAAAATAACTGGTATGAATTTCAATAAAGGGTAATTATCAACGCACATGATGCTCGACAAAATATATATTCATGTATATGAAAAGACTTACTGCGCCTTGTTGCCACAATCCACCTTGAGATCCATATAATTCCCATCTTATGCGAAAACTTGATATATCTGGCAGTTTTAACTTGGACGGATTAAAATCTATTTCATAGAGTTTAAGATGTCCCATGTGTCTACCTGCATTAACAATTCATTGTACAATTATGTTCTCACTTTATAGAGACTGTGGGCACAAACTTGGCAACCAGTTTATGTATACATATGATATAACGTTTAGGGTTACACCAAGTTTGTCTCTTTGGTCACGGAAAAAGAGCATAAACCAAAATCATAATTAGTACTCATAGTCCCGATTTAAACAAGTTGTCCTGCCGCCCCACCGGTAGACATAAATATCCTGGTTATGCAGTATGGCAGTCAGGAATATATTTTTTATTTGATATTCATACAAACTTTTCTTAGCAAGAGAGTAGATTTACCATTCATTATCAACTCACTTAACTAGTTTAGATATTGAGAGAAATTGTTATGTCATAGTTATGGTATGAAGTATAAACCGTACGATAGTTTAACACCCAACTGTATTACCGTTATTAAATTATCAAAATTCCTAAAACAAAGTACAAGTCTTCTGATGAGGTAAGAAAGATTTTCATCAATTGAAGAAAGAGCCAATAGAGAATATTTTAATAACTGTCCCGTTTTTTTGCATCATTTGTTTATGGTAAGCCTAGGCGACATTTTACGCGCTAATGTACCCGGCATTCATCTAAATATGAGCAATCATCGGGAACCGACAAAAACTAAAAGGATCGGGACCATTCAGTTGGCCGGCAGCTCAAAACCTCTGCTATAAATCATGTTGGTTGTAATCAAGTTCAAGATATTTTTTTTACTAAATATGGCAATGGGGGGGAGGGGGGGGGGTGAACAAATGTAAAATTATGGTGGTCACCATACGACATCGGAAAAGCACATTGACCAGTCGATATTAATAGCATCACAATGAACAAATTCCAAGTGTAAACATGCACCTTATCGCACGGTCCTTTTTTATGTAATGTCGCCTTGTTTTTTTTTTTTAGACATATTTGATAATAAATAATCATTTAACGCCTACAGGTTCAAAATAACTGGGCTGAAAACTGAGTCTTTCTACAGCGAGAACGTAGACCAATTTCCAAAGGTTTGAATCCCAGTAATGTCTGCTATGGCAGCTATGCTTTTAATGGCTTTATTTTGCTGTGGATTTCGTGTCTATATATTTGAGCATAGCTCTCTTGTTAGTTACAAAGATCAAAATATATTCAGCCTTAACAATATACTTCGTGAAGCGGCTGATGGACACATGTATAATAGTTATGAATATAAAGTTAACAAAGTCCGTAAATTTTGTTGTTTTACATGTCTATTCGTACATAAAGTCGTATTTAGTAGACGCTAAACCTAAATACTTGCTACGGGTTGGGAATGGGACAGAAAAATATGTCCCATGGACAAGCCTGTTGATACCTCTTACAATTGTTCGTGGATAATTCTTACCTCTCATATGATACCAAAATTTAAAACAGCCATCTTGGTTAAGGTCGAACGGGAGTGTACGGAGTTTAGCTGTTCGGTTGTTCCATCTTCCTGCTTTGATGTACATATATCCCCCATCTATAAGAAAATGTAAAATATTACATCTAGCTATTGACATCAAATCAACCAAACTAAATTACTTTGATCGTAAGTTTCTTTTTTTATTCATCTTATCCGTGCTTCGTACTTTGTGTTGTGAGATAAACGTTTGATTGATTGCATTTTGTGATTGTACATATACTGTTATTATCAATTATTATTACTTCACAGGACCTGATTACCCGGTCCGCTGGACTTTTTGTTTTGACGTGAGTCGGGTCACTGCGTTTCGTTTTATTGACTATCAGCATTTGCAATATATTCAAGTCCAGTTTGATGCTAATCTCAGGTATAAAAACGCGGAAACGGTTGGGTTGGATATTTTCAATCATGGAGGTGACATGGAGGTAAAGTACTAGAATCGCAAAAAATCTAAGTATCGCAGTTTTCAGCCCGTTCTTGCAATCTGAACGGTGAGTATTCTTTTCACAATAGGACGTGTAATCTAAAAGTAATCTGTAAACAAGTTTTACTTTAGGATTAGTGTATAACTGATTTATAGTAATATCGTCCTCATTGAACGGTTCCAATGCCGTTATGTAACGTAGAGTAGATATCAAAGGATAGTACTGACACATTCCAGTTAAATACGGGGTCGTTTATATTAGTAGCGCTTCATTGGTGACAGATTTATAAAGAAGTATGAACATTTCCTATGAACCTAGCCTAATTACTACGCTCACGTAATCGAGCTTGTGGGTGTTTTACCACTGTGCAGTCGAATGCAACTTGTGTTTTATGTCTTTTTAATGGATATAATACCTCCGCCGTGATCATCTTTAGTTCCCGTTCTTCCACCTCTTCTTCTATTCTTGCTGTGGGAATCTTTACCGTCTCCTAATTTCCAGTCAAAATCATCACTGAATAAAACTTGACCCCAACCACAAGTTGTGTAAGAATCAAAATCGCATGCTACGTCATCTGGCCATTTAACTGAAAAGCAAAATAGAATTATGTAACGTATGGCTCGTTTTGTTATTCTACAAAATTATTTTGAGATGCCATTTCACCAAAAGTAAACTTTTCTTTCAATAAAACATCGAAAAGCGATTATAATAATGTTGTGTGATACAGGAGAGATGATGCTCGAATATTTGGACACGAAAGCCAAAACGAAGTAGTACGGATATGCAATTTGTCACAGTAGACTACCCCACTTTTAGCATTTTTGCCTGGCCATTACGCGAACGCGAAATCGCTACAAGATGCGCAAGTTTAAATTCTGTTGACGTCATCACACACAAAACGCGACTCCCATAGAGCACATGAATGTTTTAGAAAAACCGAAAAATTAATAGCCTTCTTGCGATGATGTAGCGATACAATCTTAGTAACTGAAAAAGCAATTGGTTCAGTAATTTATGAGAAAAGTGGTCCATATAGTGTCCAATAAAGTGAAACGAATATTCCAATATCAATTATAACGTGTGTGCCAACACCACATTATTGATCCGTGTTTAAACTTCGTGTTATGCATAACAATTATGTATATATAAGATGCGTCAAGGGTGTGACTAATGTTGACCCAGTTCGAAATCGACAAAATATTTCCCTTGAAACAAATGAAGCATGTTTGAACGTTTCTATGATATATGTTTAACACTTTATGACAAACACAAATCGGGAAAACCAACACTTTGAATGGTGAATTTCTACTTCGTCTATAGCTACTCATTGCATCTTGTGAATAAAACGTTAACGAAACGTCATTTTGAGCACCATAAGATTAAATCAAATTCCACGACGTGATGTCTCACGAATTAATAATGAAAGCTAATAACCTGTCGTTGAAGTACTGCTGACTGTAGGCACTGCTCCTCTTGCTAGGCCGGTTTCGTTAGAGTCTACCAGCCTAATTGATGTTACCCCTGTGATGTGGAATAGAGTGACAAGCAGGTTCAATAACCAGAATATAAAATACATCGTAATTAATTACTTTTCTACAAAAAAAAATGAAATTGTTGATATTATTTTAAACAACGCCTGATTAGGTGATATTATAAACAAAATTCAAGTACTATGCATAGATAGAGTAATAGTAATCCTGCCCAGCTATGTCTGAGTATAGTATACTAATATCTTCTGTACTGTACTATTAACATTACGTAAGTCGAACTTTCTTTAACGAGTGATTCAACACAGAGTTCTGAACATCAATTTAGTCGCTTGTGTTGCAAATGGACGAATTACTTACTATCTGTAAGAAAGAAGACGACTTTCTCTGCTGATCCTCGAACCTCGACAATACGAAATTTGAAGTAATTTGTTGTAACACGCCCGAATGAAATCATCTCTTACAAATTGGATAAATATAGATGCTGTTCTATTCTACATTGATAAGTTTAAGTGAAAGAACGCATGACTTCTTGATTGAGAAATGACATCTCGTTCAAGATTGTCGAATTAAATGATTATTAATTTTATATATTTATATTTTTAAAGGATTCCATGAAATAAGTTATACTTAACTACCCCGCGCTTCAAGCAACGCCGAGCAAAAGTAAATGCTCGCCACACAGCTTCGCAGCCAGTCTTTCATTTCTAAATAATATTGCTTACTTATTAGCAGCGAACATTCTTATAGTTTAGTCGCTTAGTGAAAATTTTAGCTCATGAAACACAATTTTGCTTCATTTTCTATAATAATATTCATAACATTTTCACCTCACTTATAACCTCATTTTACCAAGTGTAAACGTAATTCATAATTTTCGGTACCAACTGCTCGTAACTCTCAACAATTTCCGGTAATTCAACTTGTTTCCGATTTGAAGTTTATTTTTGTGCTTCTACGTCTTTTCGCTACGCAAAATTTAATAATTCGTTGTCGTTTATAAATTTAAAATTCCAATTTTGGTAAATCATTTAAAATCTAGCATATCGTTGTGACCACCATTTGCATGTATGCTTTATTGATGTTGGTTTCGATTTTATCATATGCATAACGTTTGGCCATCGTTTGAGTCGCGAACACAGGCCTATACAGACTGTCAAGTATGAATATATCGTTTCGTTGAATTGTTGCTGATGATGTTGTTGAAATTACGTCTGTTTTTGTTGCTGAGAAAAATCCGCTTTTCTCTGCAACAAATGGACCTATCGACTTAAATTTCCAGCACTTAAAGTAGTTGGGAGATATCGCAAAAGGGCTATTGGGTGGTTTGATTTGATTAAAGGTAAACAATATCTGTTATTGTTTTCCTTCGATTAAAAATGTTGTTGTTGTTGTTTGTATTCCTTCTGGTATTCTTCTTTCTGTTTTTGCTATTCTTGCTATTGTCGTCTTTCTGTCGCTAAAAAGCTATTAGTTTTATTTTTTCAAAAATTTCTGTGGGTTCTATGCGATGCGTTTTTCCAGTTTGAAGTTTTCTGTGATGACGTCATTAAATTAATAATTGCGCATTAGTGGCGGTTCCGCGATCGCATTTCATCAATCTTGAGGTGAAGTCGAATTCATGATTAGGAAGACTACGGCATTGTAAGAGATTCGATACTACTCAGTTTTAGCCTCCATGTCCATACATTTGATCAATGCTCTCTTTAGCTGATAGGCCGATCGCTTTAACCATTTAGACTAGAATATAGAGTATTTTTGAGGTAAAATACTTTCATAATATTCGCTCTTCGTAAGGACCACTCTTCACGACAAATTTGGAAAACAACTTCCCCAACTGCAAGTTTTCGTTGGTTGATTTTTGAAAGCTCGTGATTCAGCGAACGCTGCATGTTTACATGGCGGTAGATTATACATATAGTTGCGTTTCTTTCCTGTTTTTAGTTTTTTTGAAATTTACTTTAAGATATCTCGCGCGCTCTCACCCGAGAACAATCTCAAATCAGATCTTGCATGCTGGTAAGGGGTGCTTGACTCTAAAATACCACAAAACCGTTAAAAAATTATTGGTTGAAATTAGTTTCTAAAAAAATTATACTCTTAATTTTATACTTCCGAGGCAATGGCGGCTATATTCGGATTAGCTAGCGCATAATTTTCAAGAAGCACAATGTCCACAGAAGTCGCCATAGAGTTGATTTCCACAGAGAAATGAAGTTGCAGTTGGTGTTCGATTTGTCAACAACTATGGTAAGTAAACCTTATCTGCAACTTTTATTTCAATGTCATATTTTTTTTATCTAATATCAGAAACAGAATGAAAATTAGCGAACATTACATTTTTATTTGAGGGATTTGAAGTGAAAGTTATCATTGATCTAAAAAAAGCTTCTGGCTGTGGCATTACTGCTCTTAATAATTGACTGAGGAAGCCGGGATGGTACAAGACGATATGATCAAAGCACAGCATCAGCAACTGATCTTACTTGACTTATAAAAATGCATATTTGTACGTCTATAAACCAATATATTCGGGTATATTTTGAAATCTGAGTTTCGGTTTTTGCGTTAAATGAGTGTATTTTGGACCGTATTTTACTGCTTAAATTAAAGAATAAGAATGCTTTCGAGAATTTGAATGAACATAAAAACAAAGCAACTGCGCTGGAGCAATTGGTTGTGGTGAATTTCCACGTAAAACGCATATTATTTCTGTTAAATCCAGACCCAATTTGCAGAGTCTAAGCACTCGTTTATCATTTTCTTATCTAAAACACACGCCCTGACGCTCTAGTTACGACATTGCACGTTGGTACTTTCGGTCCGGAACTCTGCCTTCACAACTTTAAATTTACTAACCGTTCATAATTTTTCGAACATTTGGTGGGAAGTCAGCAAATAGTATCGACTTTATATTGTAACTAAAACCCTGGTTTTGGTACGAAAAGTGCTTCACGACTCTGGTTTTCAGGTTTGGGTGAACCCGGGGCGGACACTCTAATCACTAGTGCGAAAACACATAGGGTTAAGGTTTTTCTGTTGGTATTCGTATAGAAATGAGACTAAATTGATAACCTCTAATATTTTAGAGAATGTGGACAACATAGTGAAAAATTACTCAACACTTCCTTGGTGCTTATAGAACTTTCAGTTTATTGCAACGTAAATAATAATAATAATATTAATCAATAGATATTAATAACAGAATTTATTCATCGCAAATATTACTCAAAATTTAGCAAAGATCTATGCTAAAAAGGGTGGCCGTAGCATCTCACTACCAGCCCGACTTAACAGGGTGTATTTTTAAAATGATAAATATACGTTGAAATGGACGGCACGAAAAAATAATAACCATTACTAGAAAATTGTTAAATTAAATACTATGTGTAACGAACCAACAATATCAAAATAGATGCGAGCTATTGAGAATATTTTTCTAAAGTTGAAATATTGTTTGAAATTTTCGTGTCGAATTGAATGTGAATTATGTACTTAAGACGGAATTGATCTCATAAGCGAAGATATACAGGATTGCTTTTACTTGTGGCAAAGTATATATAATGATCTCTATCCATGTGTTCGTACAGAAAACAATGAATGAAGTGCCATTTCCGAACAGTTTTAGAAAGACACCTTCAGTTTGAAGTGAATTTTTTATACAATTCACGCATTGATTACTCAATGGTACTATTTAATATGCCACAGTACACAATTTGACATGTGCCATGTGTTTTTCTTTCAAATTTTGTTAGTTGAACTATTCGATTTATATTTAAAATATTCGAATATATATTCAAAATTAATTTTACAATATTCCTAATTATATAGGCCAAGATCTGAAAATTGTGTTAATAAAGTGTAAAAGCTGAATTGTGTGTGTGTTAGTACAAGTAAACTACAAAAATGGCAACTTTTCACTGTTTTTTCACTTAATGTGGAAGTGAGGAAATCCGGAGTCAAAAAATAGAATAGAATAAAATAATAAAACAGAAATAAGTAACTCGAATAAAGCAAGAACATTGAAGAATTCGAAGCATAAATCTCAAATTGGATAACTTTTGCTTGATCACACACGGACCAGCGATAACCCACAAAGTTGATAAATCATCATTGGCGTATATATGATCAAGAAAGTTCACAACACGTATTTTAACAAGAAAGAAACATGATGTACAGTGGTGAATATCAATAATGATGCTCTTTATTTTCTTTCTGGATCGTTTTTTTTCTTCTTCTAAAAACGATATTTCAGAAAGATGGTTCGACATTCAAATGAGGACAAATATTGTTGAGCGACTTTTCACATTTTACCGATATTATTTCTGCTAAATTTTTGCTGAAATATTGAAAGTGTCACAGTGGCAATTTTGAAGAAAAATCAATTATCAATCTTTTTTACGAAAAATAACTCATTATTCGTTTAAAAAATAGGTTTGTTTCAAAAAAATTTTGAGCTTAGAGTTAATACACATTTTGAAATTTGACTTGTAGAATCTAGGAATTTGTAGAACGACCCAGTGCGAATTATCTCAGACCTGGTTGTGTATATATACCAAAATTCAGTGACATAAACAACGTGGGAAGATCGGGTATAAATACATGTCGGAGATAACAAGTGAAATAGGAAATAAAATATAACGAAATCGAGTCCAAAAAAACGGCTGAAGCAGAGAAATATATACGTTCTAATATAATATCACAATTTAAAAGAAAAAAAGTATATAACAAACATCTCATTATAATATTCGAAAAATAATTAATTGAAATAAAGAGTCTATTTTTGCTCAGTTTGTTTTCATCGACTGTGCTATTCTTCCGATCAGAGGGCATCAGCAACACACCGTTCCAAGTTTCAAAAGCAGACGAATATACTTTAGAATCATATACAGGTGATATGCGTCCATGATCTGCTTTGGAGAATAGATTTTCGATGTAACATGCCACGCCACTCTCATATAAGTTGTTCGTTTTCATATCAACAGTATATATCTGTGTATTTATCTCTTACTAGGCTCTCTCCCTCTGCGTCGCGTTTTGCGCAAGATTGCAAGCGCAAAACTCTAGGTGATGTGGAAGATCTTACAAGCGGATAAATTGCGTTTACGATATTTGCAATAAATTTTGATAATTTTTTACTAATTATTTAGAAGTTGACAAGACGATATATTACATCTTTAGTTTAAACATATTAGGTTTCGATTATCAGGATCATAATACTAAACTCATTTGTAAAAACATATAATGACCTAGTATAAACAGTACATTTGCGTCTGGAATCCTAATCGCACGTTTTCAAATTCTGGTAGTCGAGGAGTGAACAATGTTTTTCAGTGTCAGCCTATGCAAACTCGCGTTCACGCAACTTCGCTTCCTCATCGCCTTGAACGACACTTCGGGAGACAGCCTAGTCACATGACTCGACACATTTTACTGTTTTTGGAAGAAGAACCGGAGTCCGATGCAGCGCTAGGTACCGGTGACTTCCGCGACAACCCCGAGTCTTTTTCAAATTGTGCTGCCAGTTTCTTTTTCTTCCTTCCTTTTGCTGGAGTCTTTTCCCCGTTTGAAATTTCTGACGTGAGAGCTTTGGGCATCTTTTTCTTAGGTGAGAATACAACTCTCTCAATTACAACCTGTTTAATAGAAAAAAAATCTTAATTACAAATCTTGCGGTAAATGAATATTGCATGGTAGATATGAATATGTTTAATGTGGAACATCGAATTAAAAATTTCATTCTATTCTTTTTTTTATTCGCTAGATTTTAAATGCCCCACATTATACCTTTGTTAGGGCCGGAAAGTGGCTGTTGTTATTTTATAATTTGTGATATTCATTGCGGAATTTAATCAGATGTATTGCGTTATACTAATATACTTTCATCAAGAGATTGTTTGTAGTATAAGAGTATGATAATGTCATAATAGGACGTTCTGAAGGTTATATACGTCGCAGTAAAAACATTGGTTGTTTGTAGGAGGGAATATTCTATTGTATGATAATCTTGTAGTTGTTGAAATACCTATTGTGGTTAGTCTATAACGATGGGAAATAAAATATGTGGATACTTATATATACACACGACTGTACACATCGCGATAAACGTACACATAAACCACTTGCATTTATATGCCGCATTTATAACTAATTAAAATGTAGATCCTATTGAATTTGTCAAACAAAGGCTTAACACCAAACTAAAAAAATCCATTTTAGTGTGCTTTTGGATAGCCTTCTTTGTGTGCATAAGTACTACAAAATTCACGTGTATTTAGTTCAATGTGTTGAAAAGTACCAAGAAAGTTATGTATGAAAATTTTATATATTATGTGTAGATAGATAACGAAGATAGATAATAGAAACATCTGTGAATATCATCGCCAAAATTGAGTACTCGCCAATGAATTTGTCGAGTAATAAGCATGTGTAATACGACTGGCAGTACGTGACCGCTATAACAAAATCTTGCTTCGAACGTAAGTTTTTTGTTTTACGCGATTTGTTTGACACATTTATTCAAGCTATATTAGAGTTGTTATTGAGTTTTTTCAGCTGTTTTGAAACGTTTAACTTATATAAAATAAAATTTTTCTTTAGTCTCATAACAATGAAATTATCCACCATAATATTTACCTCAGGTGGGGCCTCGTTTGGATCGATACCCCAGATAAAATTTTCTGGGTCCATGTTCCAGTATTTCTCCCACATGTTTGCATATCCATCGTCGTCTTTTGTCTCTTTCTTTGCCGGACCAGTATCCACATCCAAACCTTCCGCCTCTGAAAATTACATGATAATGGATAAAGTTATGAACTTTGCTTTAATAAGTTTTGAGAAACAATGCAGAAATTCCAATGGTTTACTTAGCCATTGGCATGTAGTCGCATTAACAACAAATATTTCTAGGACCGGCAATTAGAATCTAGTCTATAAGATTTTTTTTTAAATAGGTATTAGAGAACTCATGGACCATGACTTGAAGATGGAGAACTCGAATACTCTCCAATCTACGATGGTGTTTTTGAAAGGATTAAATTGACGATTGTCGATTTATTTAGAAAACTTTCACTAGATTTAACACCATAAATTAGGAAATGTTTCTTTTTATGTCAAGTGAAAAGTTTTAAAAATTGAATGATGTTTTCAAACACGGGTTTAGTGATTTTAGTGAAGTGTTAAATTCTGATTGCATAATATTTCAAAATCTGCATCTAAATTCGGAATCCTTCAAAACTTTTGAAATGAATCATTGAAAGACACCTATCATACCAAATTTAGCACGAGTTGACAAATAGGATCGTATTTCATAATTATGTTTTAGTTAGAATTAAACTTCGCTGGGAAATCAACATCATTGCGATTATAGTAATTCAGACAAACTAGGAAGTCTTGTCTTAAACATACGTGACGACCCAAACTGTTTCAAGCTTTATTGTACAAAGGTTTTAAAATCTTGAGATTTCATATTGGCCCTGGACCGAAAACAAGCATTGTTCCAAATTCACCACAGTGCTTATCAAAATAAAACAATCTTTCATCAACATCGCAATCCTTGTGCACAAACTTTGTTGTTGAAGCAAGTCCATGTGGTAGTGCTACATCAAACGCGGGGTGGCGATAAAATAGGTTTTCATTATCAGACTCTGACATGGCCAAGTTTTTTATAGTTCTATATATTTGTTTTGTTCGTTCAAGAGTTCGTTGACCGGTATCAATGAAGGATATGAATAGCGCTATAACTTTTTATAGATAACTGTTGTTGAAGATTGTGTCTGTTTACTTGTAGTCGATAAAATTACTTAACACAGTGTAGAAAAGTAAATAAAATATTGTACATACTTGCTCTTTCTGTCCAATGCTGTCTGTTTGCTCTCATCCCATCACGTAATGGAGCATAGCCATTGCAAAAATCTGCCATCATCTGAAACAAAAAATATATAAATATGAATATTTATATCCCAGTATTTAATAGCATCCATTGCTTTCAAATTGGAATAAAACTCCGGGAAATTCTGGATATTTCTGGATCCTGTTTATGATGTAGATATATCATTAATTCTTAAATGTTTTAGCACTATTAGTACACTGTCAATAGTATGAACAATCCATTTTACGATAAAAAATATTACAATATCAGGACTAAAGATGCATCAGACCGCGGTTGTGTTTTATACACGTTCCATGTCCAACAGAACGAGGGCTGTGTATCTCATCAAATTCACTGTTTTACTATCATTAAAAGTTTACTATGGATTGACAAAAACAATGTAGGCGAGCGGTTTCCTTTGAGGTTGAACCGAGTTCGTGGATGTCGGAGCTAAAGTGATTTTTGAAGTGCACTAGGCGTACCACGGTGGTCAGCTCAAATGGATCAAAACAAGATGATGGTATTGCTTTGCCGATTGCTAGTTGTATAGTGTAAATTTCATACTTTCAACACCCAAAACATCTGCTCTGAGCTATTAGACCATACAAAACTTGCGAAGTACGAAAGGGCGTGGATGTAGTCGATATCTTGATGTGTACTTTTAAAGCGTAGGTTATTGCATTAGTTTAATGAATCATTTCAACATAGAAAATTTTTTTTGTCAGAATATAAAACTCTTCGGTATATGAGTGAAACAAAATATGGTCGTGGCACAAATGCAAGTTACTTTCAGTATGTTTATAAAACATAAGTTTTCTTGAAAATAAAGTTTGCAAATGGATGAAACACCTCGTGAAAATCATGTCTCAGCTATTGTAACGTGAACTTTGACCTCTTGTTCATTATTCCTACGGATTTCTCGTTTGACCTCAACCGACCCATAACAATATAATTGGTCTCCGACGATTGATTTCAATGAAAGTCAAAGTGACTAAATCATTGCACTTTGTCGATTCGTTAAATGTATTATTTTAACTATGACGTCATTACCGTCGCTTGGGACCGGGTACTGACGTTTTTACTAGCGAGACGTATGTCAACAAACCATTGCCTGCGTACAACGTCGATATCGCAGTCCAAATTTATAATCTAGCATAGTATGGAATATATATATCGTGCACTATTGCCTGTTCCCGTTCTTGAACAATGGTGTTATTTTGGATTTGTGTAAGCATATTCGATAAAAAAAAACAGACATTTGGTCGAAAATCGATAGTGTGTACGACAATCTAGGTATACGTGGATAACCAGCTACTTCCACAAACAATGGAAACAAACGAATGCTGCAAGTGTTGCATTTTGAACAAAATATTATTTATGCTATAAAATTTATATGCACTACTTTTAATTATATATATATATGAATGAAGAAGCGCCCATGTTTGCGTGTATTATATGTGCGAAATAGGCTATATAATATGATCCTTGACGTAGCTCTAATTTGCTATCGCTATCCCCTTTCATTTCATCCTCTTATAAAGATGAAGCCCATGATAGGGGTTTCGCCTACGCACTGTGTCACTGATATAGGAATGTATATGCTACAAGTCTATAAATTGTAGAATTAACCTTCAATAAGATCCATTTAATCCCTACATATCACCTGGATTTATATACGTTACATTGCATAAGATAAATTTAATACGTTGGTGTTTTTACCGAGTTATATAAGAATGTGAACTAGGTTTCGTGAATAAGCCAGCAGTGGATTTGGATTGGATTTGAGAACAAGTCAAATAGTAGAGTTATAGCAGAACATTGCTCACGTTTTATTAAAAGTTTTGTGTATTGTATTCAGACAATTATCAAGATATTGCGTGCAGAATGTATATTTAAATTCGGCAATGCAAATATACCTGGTCAATCTTATCTGCAGTCTACAAACAACAAAATCAAAATATCCAACTGTATAAATAAAACACCCACAACATTCTTTGTTTAAATATGATTTTGCTGTGAAAAATCGAATGAGTAAGCAAAGTTGTGACGTTATTGATTTCAATATCGTTGGTTTGCTTGCTACCTACACTTATTTTAGAGCATGAAAACTACATTGAGGCATGAACTTTCGTTAATTTTAACTGTTGTTCTCAACAATGTAGATCTGGATAAAACATTCTCAGCCAACCAATATGATGTCACATTTGTTATTTATTGGTGTTGTCATGGAAATGTAGTCTAATTTTTCTACTATGTAGTATACGAGGAAACTAAAATTTGATGTCACGAATTGGTGATCATTAGATCATTATAATAATGTTGGGACATAATTTTAAATTCGAATTGTATTGTTTCTTCCGTCAATAAGTCGATATTCGAACACAAGACAAAGAAATATTACCACGGACAAGTTTATCAAACTAAGTTACCACAAGTTCCATCTCTTAATGGTTGTACATAAGTTATACTAGTGAACACTGACTTGAGCGCTTGAGTTCCATAAACTTTCCCTAACAAAACGTTCACGGAACAAACAATAGTTTCCCACACTTTACTACATCTTCAATAGTAGTGACCCATAATATACTATATACGTGACCAGGCACAGGTAGTCCCAGTCGTAAAAGCAAACCCATAAACCTATCATTAGCTGAATATGCGGGTGTTTTATTGACAGAATAGGAAATAAGAAAATCGAGTTATCAATTGGGGCATTGAAAAGAAACAATATTTTGTAATATATAATTGTAAATCTTGGAAAAAACGCAATGAAAGTACTATCAATAAAATCGTTGCTTTAAATCTTTAGAATTTTGCGTTCAAAGGTATATTTATAAACTATGCTCATTATAATATATTCGGACGAGAAAAGTATCCTAACTAGAGAAACACCGAAGTGTCGCATTGGGCCCTTCTTTTGTACATTATGCTTGATTTACATAATGTGAATGTCACTTGTGATATTGTTTTTAAGGTCTACATTGTCTTGTTGTCAAACAAGTTCACGTCACGATGTTTTCGGCGACAAATGCTTTTATGCAAATCGATTCGTTTTTGAAAGCGCATTTTCTTACCGCAATTTCGTTCGTAACACCGGTCCAATTGAAAATACCTTGTTAAACTATATAGACAACACTACATGAAAATAACACGCTCGATGAAAATTGTTTTCACTAAAAATTGCGAAATTGGTCGGAATTGGAATTGTTGTTTTTCAGCAGAACGTTTTGACGTGCAGTGAAATTGAATTAAACAATTTTTAGCTTAACTTTTCCAATAATTCTAATTTGTACATTTATCATAGATTTTGACAGAGCGGAACACATTCTGACAATTTTGTTATAATTTTACACTTCATGCGCTTCAAATAGTCTGGCATATAACAAAATCGTTTACGTGCAGATATTTTTCCGATTCTAGATATTTTGCTGTAAACCCACCGCTCAATTGAAGAATCTCTAAAAATCTGGTTTGGGGTTTCCACGGGTATTTGAGTGGTGTAAATAATAAACTGATATAGTTACGCCAGTACGCTATAAACATTTATATCAGTATTAATAACTCTTTCACATAAGAAATGGTGTATATTAAAGTTTATTATCAGAAAGGAGAACATTGCATTACGTTTACAAATATTCGATGTTTATATATATATATATATACACTCTCTCAAATGTTCGAAAAATATAAGGAGGGAATTTAAATCAGTCGCCGCTTCCACTGAAATAACAAAGGCCAAATTGAAAGTTTTATCTGTAAATTTTAATTTTATTCGAGATTGAGTCAGCTGCCGAGTTTTGTGACAAAGAGGTTTAAAAATACCAAAAAATTTCATTTCGAATGTTATTTCTGAAAACTTCCGCGCATGCAAACGTTGACTCATCTTGGGAAGATTTTATTACTTGTTGTAACGGAGTCATATAACGGTTTGGTTTCTGTAAAACTGTGATTCTTATCAAGTGTGATCGAGTTATATAACATGTTTGATAAGTAAAAGTAAACAAAAACTTCCGAGTCCTGAGCTCGTGACGTCAGTGATGACGAAAACGTCGCACTGCGACCAAAGTCTCCGACCTTAAGTACACACAAGTGTTTGTCTTGTCGTTGTGACCATAGGAAACTTTGTCCCACGTTCCTCGACAAAATAACCTATTTCAATAAAATAGATAACTATACGCGTTTTTGGAATGTGCCGTTTTGAAAAATAAGCTTAGTATTTCACTTGAAATTTGATAATTTTTTCAAAAAAGCCGTAAGGTTTCAATCATTGACAGTTATAGAATTTTTTTAACAGTGATAAGATTATCCGACGTTCAATACATTGGAAGTTTATTTGCTGTAGTCTAGTATAGTCATCCAATATTAATATTTGTTTAACCCCTGATATAAAACATGTATATACGAAGGTGAATTCCTGCAATTTTGTGAAATTGTTTTTTATAATAAGTCGTTGTCATATTAGTTTTATATCGAGAAACGGACTTTTTATAATTTCTCATATTTCCTCAATGAGAAACCCGAATGCTGGAATGTATATTCATATAACAAAAAAACTATTCCCCGTGTAACTGTATCGGCCTGCATTATATTTGCACCAATATATGAGAATAACTGCAATCCTAAGATAGATAGATAATAGACGAATAGCATCATAGGAATTCTTTACCGGAAAGAGTGCAAGTGACCCAAATCATCGAGAAAAGTTCATTTGGTTTATATTATGTATAGGCTTCCTAAAATCTAGATGAAGTAACGTGATCCATGCCTAATAAAAAAAATTTGTAATTCTGACATGATTCTTTTGTAGAGATTTTTGTTTTATGTCGTAAAAGGCTTTCTAGGAGAATACACCCATGTCTATCTTTATTTATCTAAATCTACTCTGGTATGTAACACCAAATTTGCGATGTTTGAGTTTCACCAATAGATTTAGTAAAATTTTGATATTTTTATTGGTGTAAAAAAATGATGTATATACATTTGTTGTTCAATGCTTCTATCCAGTATTCCTTTACTTTTTGATGGTTAGGCTATAACAGGGTAGTACCCAAATG